TTATACATGTAAAATAAATGACTGCAGGATTGGGGCCTTGATTGGCTTTTTGCCCCTACCACATGTAGCAGATGCTTGTAGAGTTGGATTCTCTTGAAGTGAGTAAAATCACTACTTAGCTCAGCAGTTGTTGGATGAAGACAGGGCAAACCCTGTGGAGAGTGAAGCTTTGCCATCGACTTGAGCTATTTTGGGGGTATGCAACACCTGTTAGCGTTCATTAATTTTTTTCTTGTGATACAAAGCCATATGTCCATGAAAGATTCCATTTTTAAAACAGGTGGTCTTCCGCGCTCAAGGGTGGGCTTCTGCTATTTATAAGGAATATAGCATGCAAACATGAACCCGGGGTAGACTTCATTGTGTAGGGGAGCTGGTAGCCACACCTATATTTACACTGTCTAACATTTTCCACGATAAAAAATTCTTGCAATCTGTTTTTGAGAAGCTCTTACATCACAGGTGTTTAAAAATATTTGAATTTTGCAGGGGAAAAGCTTTCAGCCTAGAGAAGAACCCTTTCTGCATCCCATGAAATTCTGCTTACTTTTGCTGAGGTATATTAAACGTGGAAAATCACCATGTCCATTCTCTTGCTCATATTCATCTGGAAAACTTCGGCAGCCTGCCAAATGAATAACTCAATATGAATATTCTAATACTGGACCCCCACTACCAGTGCAGAAGCAGCACATGCTGAACTGGGAACACTGGAAGCAGACAGCTTCTCTGGGATGGGAGTAGAGAGAGGCTGGCCAAGCTCCCTAAACGCTCCTTCTAGAGCAAATGTGGCAGTGATTCTACTGACAATAGCCTCATTCATTACACAATCCTAATTTATTCCCTGAGCACCATCCATCCTTTGCAGTGAATGAGGCAGGGGTCCTGTGGAAAAATAAGAATATAATAATGTAATTAACAAGGGAGCTGAAATAAGGTTTCACAGGCAACCTTAGTACTAGCATTTCTGCTTGACTTTGCAGCTTAATCCAATTGTTCAGATAGTTTTTTGTACGTAATGCTGTAGATAGAATGGTTGTATTTTTCCATTAGATTTTTTCCCCTCTGCCCTCCGTTATTATCCTAGTTTCATTTGATTGTCCCCTTTTCTTCCCTGCTTTGCTTCTCATTAGTTTTGTTGGGAGGTTTTTTACAGTCTCTCCCTGGTGGAACAATAACATACAAGACAAACTTTCAAAACCAAGATATTGGAGCAGTTTCAAAATGAGTTTCTTACCGCATCCCTGGAACAAAACTTGGGTCCGTAATAAGATGAGGGATGTTAATTGTGTCCAGGAGCACCTGGGGTGTGAACGGGAAGGGAGAATTTTCCCCTTGCCCCCCCCTTTTGAGAAGGCCTCCAAATTGAGTGGTGGTCTGACCTGGGGTGTGGGGTTGCAGCAGGGTTCAGATTTGGCTCTCCATCCGTCTGTCACAGTCTCCCAGGACAGGAGCTGCAGGGTGAGCATGGGGTGGGCTCACTCTCCAGCTCAGATTTAGATGTTCAGCTTGGAAGGCCTCCATTTAAGATTTTAAGGGTGATGTCGTGTTGGGGGTCTGTTATAGACCACCGGACCAGGAGGATGAGGTGGACGAGGCTTTCTTCCGGCAACTCACGGAAGTTACTAGATCGCAGGCCCTGGTTCTCATGGAAGACTTCAATCACCCTGATATCTGCTGGGAGAGCAATACAGCGGTGCACAAACAATCCAGGAAGTTTTTGGAAAGGGTAGGGGACAATTTCCTGGTGCAAGTGCTGGAGGAACCAACTAGGGGCAGAGCTCTTCTTGACCTGCTGTTCACAAACCGGGAAGAATTAGTAGGGGAAGCTAAAGTGGATGGGAACCTGGGAGGCAGTGATCATGAGATGGTCGAGTTCAGGACCCTGACAAAGGGAAGAAAGGAGAGCAGCAGAATACGGACCCTGGACTTAGACTTTGACTCCCTCAGGGAACTGATGGGTAGGATCCCCGGGAGAATAACATGAAGGGGAAAGGAGTCCAGGAGAGCTGGCTGTATTTTAAAGAATCCTTATTGAGGTTACAGGGACAAACCATCCCGATGTGTAGGAAGAATAGTAAATATGGCAGGCGACCAGCTTGGCTTAACAGTGAAATCCTTGCTGATCTTAACCACAAAAAAGAAGCTTACAAGAAGTGGAAGATTGGACAAATGACCAGGGAAGAGTATAAAAATATTGTTTGGGCATGCAGGAGTGAAATCAGGAAGGCCAAATCACACCTGGAGTTGCAGCTAGCAAGAGATGTTAAGAGTAACAAGAAGGGTTTCTTCAGGTATGTTAGCAACAAGAAGAAAGTCAAGGAAAGTGTGGGCCCTTTACTGAATGAGGGAGGCAACCTAGTGACAGAGGATGTGGAAAAAGCTAATGTACTCAATGCTTTTTTTTGCCTCTGTCTTCATGAACAAGGTCAGCTCCCAGACTACTGCACTGGGCAGCACAGCATGGGGAGGAGGTGACCAGCCCTCTGTGGTTCGGGACTATTTAGAAAAGCTGGACAAGCACAAGTCCATGGGGCCGGATGCGCTGCATCCGAGAGTGCTAAAGGAGTTGGCGGATGTGATTGCAGAGCCATTGGCCATTATCTTTGAAAACTCATGGCGATCGGGGGAAGTCCCGGAAGACTGGAAAAAGGCTAATGCAGTGTCCATCTTTAAAAAAGGGAAGGAGGAGGATCCTGGGAACTACAGGCCAGTGAGCCTCACCTCAGTCCCTGGAAAAATCATAGAGCAGGTCCTCAAGGAATCAATTCTGAAGAACTTAGAGGAGAGAAAAGTGATCAGGAACAGTCAGCATGGATTCACCAAGGGCAAGTCATGCCTGACTAATCTAATTGCCTTCTATGACGAGATAACTGGCTCTGTGGATGAGGGGAAAGTGGTGGATGTGTTGTTCCTTGACTTTAGCAAAGCTTTTGACACTGTCTCCCACAGTATTCTTGCCAGCAAGTTATAGTCCATTCATCCAGCCCATACTTCTTTAAGGTGGATAGAAAGTTGGCTAGATTGTCAGGCTCAACGGATAGTGATCAATGGCTCCATGTCTAGTTGGCAGTTGGTATCAAGTGGAGTGCCCCAAGGGCTGGTCCTGGGGCCGGTTTTGTTCAATATCTTCATTAATGATCTGGAGGATGGTGTGGATTGCACCCTCAGCAAGTTTGCGGATGATACTAAACTGGGAGGAGTGGTAGATATGCTGGAGGGTAGGGATAGGATACAGAGGACCCTAGACAAATTAGAGGATTGGGCCAAAAGAAATCTGATGAGGTTCAATAAGGACAAGTGCAGGGTCCTGCACTTAGGACGGAAGAATCCAATGCCCCGCTACAGACTAGGGACCGAATGGCTCAGCAGCAGTTCTGCAGAAAAGGACCTAGGGGTTACAGTGGACAAGAAGCTGGATATGAGTCAACAGTGTGCCCTTGTTGCCAAGGAGGCCAGTGGCATTTTGGGATGTATAAGTAGGGGCATTGCCAGCAGATCGAGGGATGTGATCGTTCCCCTCTATTCGACATTGGTGAGGCCTCATCTGGAGTACTGTGTCCAGTTTTGGGCCCCACACTACAAGAAGGATGTGGAAAAATTGGAAAGAGTCCAGCGGAGAGCAACAAAAATGATTAGGGGACTGGAACACATGAGTGATGAGGAGAGGCTGAGGGAACTGGGATTGTTTAGTCTGCGGAAGAGAAGAATGAGGGGGGATTTGATAGCTGCTTTCAACTACCTGAAAGGGGGTTCCAAAGAGGATGGATCTAGACTGTTCTCAGTGGTAGCAGATGACAGAACGAGGAGTAATGGTCTCAAGTTGCAGTGGGGGAGGTTTAGGTTGGATATTAGGAAAAACTTTTTCACTAGGAGAGTGGTGAAACACTGGAATGCATTACCTAGTGAGGTGGTGGAATGTCTTTCCTTAGATATTTTTAAGGTCAGGCTTGACAAAGCTCTGGCTGAGATGATTTAGTTGGGGATTGGTCCTGCTTTGAGCAGGGGGTTGGACTAGATGACCTCCTGAGGTCCCTTCCAACCCTGATATTCTATGATTCTATTTTGCCCTGCCCCCACCCTCCCAAAAACCTTGGTGCAGTCCTGGTGGTGGTGTATTACAATTTTAAGCACAATCTCTTTAAATGTCTGGGTTTTTTCCCCTGGTCCTGCTTGCAGGCTAAGGGGATTTGTAGGGAAGCATGTGATCTGGGCCTACCAGCACTAAGTCTGCAGCCAGCCAGCCTAGAGAAAGGTGGGCTGAGTTGGACCCTCTCTGTTTTAAGGAGCAGCCTGTTTTGTGTGTCTGTTTTGGGTTCTTGAGTGTTATCATGAATTCTAAGAAATAATGTAGTGTTACATTGCAACTTTCCAGCAAGAGTAGTTTTTTATCTAACTTCTCTGTGTGTACATTGAGAGCATAACATTAATATGTCCCCATAACACTGCAGAAGACTGTACAAAAACAAATAATAGAATGTGCCCTACACACAAAGGGAAGGGTGCATAGTCGCCTATATTGACTACAACAGAATATTTTCTTTTCTGTGAAATTCATTTTGACTGCCATGTGTTTGTATTTATTTTCTTTCCATAGATTACTTCTCCATAACTTAGCAGCAGGACAGAACATATTGAGAGCATGCTTTCTGCTCCACAAGAAATTTTTTCCCGTTTCCTAGATGCCATTTTGCCATGTTTTCCGATAGTTCCACTGTGAAGAATTCTGTCTGATGGGATAAAGACATACAAATTAACAGTGTTCCAAGTCGGCTGAGTTCAGTGTCACTTTGCAGGCCAGGCACACAAGGGCTAAACTGTTCCAAGGCACTTGAGATAATAGCTGAAATTCCTTCCTTGTGCTCTGGAGAGTAGCGATGGAGGCTACCCAGGACTTGCATTCACTCTAGCCTCATACTGCCCCACTTCCTGTGGATGGGAGTCATGGTGTAATCTCTTAAAGTTTATTTCAATCCAAATATAATCTTTTCTTTTTCTAGACATCCTATTGGGGCCACAGTTTCTTTGCGTTCTTCGACCATGGACAAGAGTTACAGTAAGTGGTTTCCTCCTGTTTTGTTGTGACAACTTCTGTGGCCAATGCTGAAGGTCTGTTTTCACTTATGGCTCTTCCTTGGAAAGGATTAACATTTCAGTGGGTTTAAATTTGAACCTTAATGCAATAGTCTGTCATGGGTTTTTAATAAATATCTTTTCCCCCCCCCCCAAATAATCTGTAAGGCTGTTACTAATCAGAATGAGACATTTCCTCAGTTGGTTTCACTGGGGCTTGTTTCTGTTGCATCTGGCAGTGTGTCCAACAGAACAGCTCAACCAAAATGTGCTCAGTTGAAATCAGTTGTTTCATAAGAAGCTACTATTTCTTGGTTATATTATTATTAAATATCCAGGCACATGTGTCTAGAAAATATGCCATTTTTCCTCCCCCAAAAGGATGAAGAATAACTGATCCAAAGCCTCACAAAACCCAAATATGCTTCTATTTAAGAATTGAATATATGGATTTTTATGGGGTTGGGAATGGGGGCAGAATTTAACAAAACAAAACAAAAAAAAATCCATGCTGACATCTCTCCTCTTATCTCCAGGGGGATTTTGGTTGCATAGTTTTAAATTCCTTAAAATACTGGGTTAAGAGAGCTGACAAAGTGTTAATGGTGTCACAAGGGTGATGCTAGTATTCCAGTATATCTTTGTCCATATTCTAATATGCCTCTTAGATAATGGAATTCATTAATGATTTGAGGATGTTTTATTTTATTGGCATATCTTGTTGTTTTCAAAAGTTTGTCATTGGGGACCTGGGGGCTGCGGCTTCTGGCATTGCCTGTTCAGATAGCTTAGATGTGTGAAGCTTTGTTCCATCGTTTTGCTTAATGAATGGACTGTTGCTCTATAAACACAAGGAATACCATGTTGGATTGTGTTCTCTCAGCTGAGCTGCATCAGTCTTGTTAGTGCTTGAGTAGGCGATCTCAAAGAAAACCTATTTGCTGTGGTGGTACTGGTGGTTCAGTAGATGAACTACTTTCTTCTGACTCAGTTCTGAATCAGTGCTCCAGCACTGCACCATTGAGAGGGTGTGGATGTGATGTGTGTGTTACAGTATGCTGGGGTACCGCATTTTGGTAGGCAAGCTCAATTGCCTGTAATGCAGAGAAGGCCATCGATACCACCTTCAAAGATAAACAATTCCCTTTTATTATCACACCGAGCCTTAGCGCTACCAGCTTCAAATAACACATAATCACAAGTCTGCAATATCATTTACTTCTGCAAAGAGAAAATAGCACATGTTAGATTGCTGCTGAGGTGATAGGAACATTTTGACTAACATTCAACTGGAGAAAGGAATATGAGCCAGGCAGGAACTAACTCAGATGATGACTCCACAGACACTAATAGCTTGCACCATGCCAAATACATCAGATGAGTGGTCCACTGTTGAATCATCTTATGTATTTGTGTGGTGTTACTCCTAAAAGAACAACTGTCCAGGAACTTTTGTATGTGTCCATATTACACACTCATGAGATATTTTAAAGTAAATATATGCGGACACGTAAAAAATATATGCATATAGGTAGGTAGATAATTTTCTGCTAAAGGGAGGCTGAGGGGCTGTTACGGATAAAATAGCTTGAGTTCAGTGTTTGGAAAATGGTATCTTTGCTCAGGTATGGCTCTGAGTCTGGTGTTGTGACCTGTTAGCTACGACACACCTGGAACCTTAAGGCAGGAAGGAGGGCATGAACCTGGTTGGCTAATCTGAGGCTCAGGCTTTAAAGAGGTCCCCTAATTTTTTTACTCAATCCTTCTAGAAATACAACTGCAGCTACATGGGCTGAAAATGTTGCCCTTTAAAAAAACAAAAAATATCATTTTGCTTCAGTAGAGTCTGAATTTGTCAAGGGCACCAGATAAATATCTCAAGCAAGCTTAAACCAGCCCAGAGCCAGGCCTTTGACCACTGCTTGAATCTGTACCTCGTTGTGTGGCCAAAAGGCCAACATTGTGCTTTAGAAATGCACACCAGTAGTGAGTCCTGATTGACCAAACTGTTTTCAGAGAGCTGAAACACTGACATTGACAGAGCTAACGTTTAATCTTCAGAATTTAGTCTGTCTCTTTCCTTCTCTTTTTGCAGAGTCCATGTCACTTTTTACACATACATATATCTCAAATCCAATGCTTTGTTAAATTTTGTAAAAAGAAATGCTAGTAACTCAACACGAGCAACCCTACAATAACAGCTTGATCTAAACAATAGCTTGGTTTCAAGCTTCTAAGTGGCAGTTGCACAAAAGTGAAGGAATGTTTTCAAACTAAATAATAAATCCATTTTAGAGGGTCCATTTTCAATAATCTAGAATTTTACCACATGGTTAATACCCAAGAGAAATGTCCTGGCTTGAATGATCATATCACTGCTGCTCTACAAGCATTATTATGGCATCACAGGAAGTTTTGAATTAAATTGCAATATTTTTCTTTTAACATGCGAGACTTTACATTTCCCTATTTATTGGTTTAAACTTTCCTCTGCCTCCATTTTACTTTGCCCTTTGAATGTCCTGGGTACAGCACATTAACTCTCCTTGAAATACGAACCAGAGCGCGCAAGTGCCAGAACATTTGTGTCAATGGCTTCCAAAAACTACAGAATTTCCTGCCCAGCTACATAAGATCAGCCAACAACTTTGTAATTGCTTTAAAAAACAAAACAAAACACTGCTGACTTTCCTCCTCTCCTCCAGCCCAAATGGTTCAGCTGGCATGGCGCAGCTTTTGTCTTATATCCAGTATCTTCAGATGTTTCTCTAATGTGCACTGTGCTGTATTTTTATGGTCAGTGTATTCTATACGACACAGTTTTAAGTTTACAACGAAAGAGAGATTGGATTCAGCTTAGTGATCTGAGAACAGGTCTAGGAGCCAAGAACTCCTGAAGTTCCAGTCCCAGTTTTGCCACTAAGTCAGGAATCTGCACGAAATGAAAGCCACATGATGAGCGACTTTTAAAATAATTTTTCTTGTTTCTCAGAGAAGGGTGCAGATTCTCAGGGGTGGTCTTTCCCTTGCCCACGAAGCCTAACTGAAGCTGAGTTTCCAGGTGGAAAGTGTGTGCATCTCCCTTCCCATTTGCAATATTGAGATTCAGGAGATTAGGTAATCTAACTGGGGACCTTACATTTTCACCTTGAGAAGTATTTGGACTGACATCTCAATAGTAAATGAAAATAAATTAGCTGAGGATGTCTGCATGAAACTTTACTGCTGAAAAATTCATTCTCTAAAAACATTTATATTGTACTCTTTATTGTCAACTAATCCTGCCCAAACTCATTTAATGGCAGTGTGTGGGTTACTTGCTGTCAGTGAAATTATCAAAGGCATTTTTCAGTTGGTGCACCGGGAAAGCATATGCTTCAATGCCAAGTAAAACAATAATGAGGAAATGTTATGATCAGACTTGACCAAATGACCTTTCCCATTTTAGATTAGTTCTTAATTTCAGCACAAGGGTCATCCTGTGAGAATACTTACAATAAGTCACTGCTCACCACTCACATGAAAAAGAAGTGACTTATTAGAAAACTCACTGTACTCATTGCAGTTAATGAGATGTGGAAAGCTTTGTAATTTGATTTGCTGGACCATATGCTGTAAAGGGATACTGCTGATTTCATTCCTCCACATTTAATTTAAGCAATATGCAATGGCTTCTTCGTATGGCTACTTATATAATAAAAATTAACTTGGAATATAAGCCCCCCCCCACCATTGTGGGGTTTATTACTTGGGGTGGTTGAGTTTCAAGTGTTTTTCACGGAAACATCTGTAAGTAATATGTGGGTCTAATTTTAAATCCTGGCAAATATTTTCCATTTAACATTTGGTTTTACTGACAAGCTTGGAGTGGTGGTTTTCAGAGCTTGTCAGTAACGGATACATATTCCCAATAATAAAAAAAAAAATTGAAGATATCTGTAATTCAAAACTTGTTCTTCTGACCCTTTTTTATATTTTAGTGGTTACGAACAGCAATGCAGAAATTAGCCTTCTGTCCCTTTAAACACCAGCTGCAACTGAATTCATTATTTCCCTCACTAGAAGAGTTCTGGCTTTCTCTTTGCCATCTGCCTGTAGGATGGCCATGGCAAACTCGGAATGTAAGATCAAGCTGCAAAAGGGGTTGGCTGAACTGTGCTTTTTTCGGACAATGTCCTATGAAATCAGACAGGCAGAAGAGAAGTGCATGTGTGTGTGGCAGGCTGGGGGGAAAGAGGTGACAGCATTAGGGGTATCATGAAATATTAGAGGATCAAGGTGCCCGTATTCATACTTTTGTATGGAATGTTTAAATCCAAACATAAATCCTGAGGGTGGATTTAAGTTCCTACCTTACCATGGAGTTTGGCAGCATATTGTGTGTGTGTGTCTCAACAACTTGTATTCCTCTCTCTCAGGTCCAAGCCTACTTGCTTGCACCTTAGCGACTAGCCATCAGGGCTTTATTTCACATTATTTGATTTTTGGTCACAGACAAAATGAAACAGCTTGAACAGGCAGCCTGGGCTACATAACCCATAAAAACTAAAACCAAGCTGACTTGTCAATGTGCATTGCATTGCCCCATTAAAGCTTACACAATGTACTATTTATGGTGCTTCATATTAGATTCTGAGACCGAACCAATGTATAGGTGGTAGTAGAAATATCCAGTAAAGTAATTAAAGGCCATTTTGGAAACTTACTATTAAGGTGTGTGTCGTCGTTAACCCCCGCCCCCGAAAAAAAAAAGTCTTGAGAGGGTTAGGCTAGGACTAGGTAAAACTTACTGGTTTCACCTTAAAGAAATGACATGGGAATAATTATAAATAATACTAACTTTTGCTCAAGCTCTTAACATGAGGGGAATGTGTGGTTTTGAAATTAATAGATTGGTTATTTGGGATTGGCCCAATAAATATCTAGAAGCAAAACAAAGGTGGTTATGATAATCTGTGGGCTGTAGACAGTATAGTTGTAGCT